ATAGAATCCTGGGCCCGGGAATGAAGTGCTGTGCATTAGCCAACCTGGCTGACATGCTCACCGTGTTTGCGCTGATGGAGGACGACCCTCAGGAAGTGTCTGCAACTATGTATCTGGACAAACTGGCCACGGTGATCTCTGTGTGGAATTCGGACACCCAGAACCCGTACCACCAACAGGCGCTAGCCGAGAAGGTAAAGGAGGCAGAACGGGATGTCAGCCTGACCTCATTGGCCAAACTCCCGAGCGAGACCATTTTCGTGGGGTTTGAGTTCATGCACAGCCTACTGCGGGAGTGGGGGGAGGAGCTGCAGGCCATGCTCAACAGCAGCCAGGGGGTAAATTATGACAGCTACCGGTTGTGTGACAGTCTGACTTCCTTCAGCCAAAACCTGAAGCTCTACCTGGATACCACCAGCTTGTCCAAGGAGGAGAGGAAGGTGGTCTCTGAGCTGGCAGAGTGTGTCAGGGACTTCCTGAGGAAAACGAGCAGGGTCCTGAAGAAAAACAAGGGTTTTGAGGACATCACCGCCTCCATTGCTATGGCCATTATTGAGCAGAAGATGGACCGGCATATGGAAATGTGCTACATTTTTGCTTCTGAGAAGAAATGGGCCTTCTCAGAGGAGTGGGTAGCCTGCCTCGTGAACAACAGGGCTCTCTTCCGAGAGCCGGACTTGGTGTTAAGGCTGCTGGAGACGGTGATGGAATTCAGCATGACTGACAGAGCCATCCCGGAATCTCAGATCAAACAAGTGATCGACTTGATCCTGGAATGTTACGCAGACCTCTCACTGCCAGATAAAAATAAAGTCCTCTCAGGTGTCCTGCATTCCTGGGGGTGCAAAGGCCTTTCTGAAAAGCTGTTGGCTTACTTGGAGGGTTTTCAGGAAGACCTCAATACAACTTTTAACCAGCTCGCACAGAGTGCCTCTGAACAGGGCTTGGCTAAAGCTGTAGCTTCTGTGGCCCGCCTGGTAATTGTGCACCCGGAAATCACAGTGAAGAAAATGTGCAGCATGGCCGTGATGAATCTCGGCACCCACAAGTTCCTGGCTCAGATTCTCACTGCCTTCCCAGCCCTCAGGTTTGTGGAAGAGCAAGGTCAAAACTCATCCAGCACTTTCGTGGTGTCATGCCTCAAAGAAACTGTCTGGACAAAGTTCTCTACACCCAAGGAAGAAAAGCAATTTTTGGAGCTCCTGAACTGCCTGATGAATCCTGTCAAGCCCCAAGGGATTCCAGTCGCTGCTCTTCTCGAGCCAGATGAGGTGCTGAAGGAATTTGTCCTGCCCTTCATGATGCTAGATGTTGAAGAGGTAGACCTCAGTCTGAAGATCTTCATCCAGACTCTAGAAGCAAATGCATCTTTGGAGGAATACTGGCTCCAGACCTGTTCTCCATTCCCCCTCATCTTCAGCTTGTGTCAGCTCCTGGATAGCTTCAGCAAATACTGGCAGCTCCCCAAGAAGCGGTGCCTCCCTTTGGATAGAAAGGATCTGGTGATCCATATCCTAGAGCTCCTCTGTGAGATTGTATTAGCCAATGCCGAGACCTTCTCCCCAGATACCTGGATCAAGTCCCTGTCCTGGCTCCACCGGAAGTTGGAACAGCTAGACTGGACCGTGGGCCTGAGACTGAAGAACTTCTTTGAAGGTCACTTCAAGTGTGAGGTGCCAGCTACACTTTTTGAGATCTGTAAGCTTTCTGAGGATGTGTGGACCTCCCAGGCCCACCCAGGGTATGGGCCAGGCACAGGGCTGCTCGCCTGGATGGAGTGTTGCTGCATTTCCAGGAGCGTCTCTGAGCAGATGCTGTCTCTCTTGGTGGTAGACGTGGGCAATCCTGAGGAGGTCAGATTGTTCAGCAAGGGCTTTCTGGTAGCCCTGGTGCAAGTCATGCCTTGGTGCAGCCCCCAGGAGTGGCAGTACCTTCTCCAGTTGACCAGGAGACTGCTGGAGAAACAGCTCCTACACGTCCCCTATAGCCTGGAGTATATTCAGTTTGTTCCCCTGCTCAACCTGAAGCCCTTCGCCCAAGAGCTCCAACTCTCTGTACTCTTCTTGAGAGTCTTCCAGTTTCTCTGCAGCCAGAGTTGTCATAATTGGCTTCCTATGGAAGGCTGGAGCCATGTGGTCAGACTCCTCTGTAGCAGTCTGACTAACATCCTGGACTCAGCCAGGTTGATTCAGTCAGTTGGCCCTTGGGCCCAAGGACAAGAACAGGACCTGACCCAGGAAACCCTGTTTGTTTATACCCAGGTGTTCTGTCATGTTTTGCACATCATGGCCATGCTCCACCAAGAGGTCTGTGAACCACTTTATGTTTTGGCCTTGGAAATCCTCACCTGCTATGAGACCCTGAGCAAGACCAACCCTTCCATTAGCTCCTTGCTCCAGAAGGTAAATGAGCAGCGCTTCTTAAAATCCATTGCTGAGAACATCAGCCCTGAGGAGCGGCGCCAAACCCTACTGCAGAAGATCAGTAACTTCTGACCTTTGTAGGTCATAAAAAAGCTGGGGTCTGTAGGGGCTGGAGCTGAGAAGCACAGACTTCACAGTTACAGGAAATTGTACACAAGATAAAAAGTATATGGCAATAATGGTGTAGAGAAAATAGTTTCTTAGATATTTGTAACAAACTATAATAAAGTTCTCTTTTGAGTTCCACCTTATCTCTTTTGAGTGTTTCTAAACAGTAGCCTAAGGTTAAACATGCTCAAGATCAGGTCAAGCTGGAAGGGATACATTCATAACTGGACTTCACCCTAGATTTTGGCAAATAAACCCAAAGATGAAACCACCCAAATGTTAGAAACATTACGGGGTATGTGTGTTCTTTTATATTGCGACCCTCTTCAAGAGTCATTTCATCATTTTAATATTTTTCATGAGGTATCAGAGAGGGCAGCAACTTGTAAGAGATACCTAGTCTAGCCCTGGCTTTGCCTGATTGGCCATGTGATTTGTGTGCTCGGCAGACCTGCACAATTGTAAAACGAGAGGATTGGACCGAGATAAACTAAGCATTAAGGGGGTAATGACCTCGAGAAAATGGGTCCCTTCTGAATTGAGGCATGCCATACTCCTGGGCTCAAAGCGATCCTCCCACCTCTGCTTCTCAGGTAGCTAGGGCTACAGGTATGTACCACCACACCCAGCTCCCGTACAGCCTTCACTCATTCAGTGTACCTGGAGGGGGCTGTGCTAATAAGACAATCTGGCAAACACAGACGTGCTTAAAGGGTGGGTGGAATTATCTTCTTGCTGGGATGGGGCTATCGTGGTTTGGATGAATGAATGGGAACAGGGAACGTGTGTGTAGAAGCATAAAAATGAGAACTGGTTGGGGAGATGTTTTGGGAGATGAGGGAAGAGGACGTGTCCCAGCACCTCCTTTATATCCACACCCTCTTTCAAAACAGGGTGTTACTCGGGTTCCCTTCCCCCCCTGAATAAAGTAGGCTTGGCTCTGTGACCAACAGGCTTCCACCCTCGCGACTCCTAATAGGATTCACTCCTGAAGAAAGGGCCTGTGACCACTGGGCTTCTTGAACTCTGGGAACCTTCAACATGTTCTTGGGACCATGAGCAACAGAAACATGTAAGAGTGAGGGATGAGCGAGGCCGTCTTGGAGGATGATAGCATTCATACCTCCCCACCTCCCCCCACACACTGCCAGTTACATGGACATAAACAGCAGAAAACAGCACACAGCAGCCAGTCAATATGGGTCACAGGACAGTTCTTACTGGAAATCAGTATTTCACAAAGGAAAATAAGTTGGGAAATATTAGTGCAATTTAATCACCATGGGGTGACTTATAAATATATACTGATAGTAAAAACAAACAACAGTAAAAAAAATGATAGCATTTTATGTTTTTTAAAAGGCACCCATTAAAGACTGAAACAGTCAAAATTTGAGACACTATTATAAATCATTCAGTCCTTCAAAAGTTCATGGACAATGAATTAAAAGGCACTTTAAAAATTCTAGTTTTTTCACTACCACTTGAAAAAACATGGTAGCAGTCTCTGAACCCCATCCTTGTTAAGGAATGATTAGTGTTGGCATCATCCTTGTTAAGGAATGATTAGTGTTGGCACCAGAGGATCCTATCTGCAAGTAGGGGTGAAGGTGTCAGTCCACAGGACATACTCTGGCTAGGTTGCTGCCGTCTTGCTCTCCAGCCTTCTGTGGCTAAATGGGCAATGGGCTTTGGACCACAAGCTCTGTCTTTGCAGGAGGCTCTGGGGAAAGTACTCCACAGTCTAGATGAGGCACCTCACGCTTTGCAGTATAGAAGTCCATTTCCACTTCATATGAAAAGGACAGTGCCAAAGAGTGGGGTTACCCAGTAAATAGCTACCAAAGCCATCATTTCACTTTGCCTCTCTAGCTTTTATGAGAGCATCCTATTCGTATAGATACGGGGAAAGCTGGGCATGAGGAGACATGCTAAAAAAGGACTAGTATTTGTGACTGCTTGCAACAAGCTCACAAGTTTGACACTGGTCTTTTTACCAAGTCTGCCTGCAAAGGTGGTGCTGACCTCTATTGGGCTCCTTACCTACTCAAGTGCTTCGGGTTCCCAACCCTGCCTCCTACCCCGCTGCCAGTGGGACTTCTGATTGGAAGTCAGTAAACATGAGAATTCAATGTTGACATGGATGAGAGGATAAGGCAAAGAACCAGTGGGTTATCTGGTAAACAATAAAAACTACCTACCTACAATGATTTTCCAAGGCCAGTGTCACAAGAAGACACTACTTCACGAGCTAAGTCATCACTTGCTTCTGCTGGCCTAGTATCACGGGTACTGCCCTGAATGGTTAGGAACGTGGGTGGCTGCCAATGTTAGGGCCACGCAGGTGCCCAGACACTTAACACCCTGATCCACCAATCTCTACAGCCCGTGCTCCTACCTCCCAGAGCTCTTCCAATAAAACCCAGGGAAGAACCTTGGGCTTGCTTTAAAACCACCTTGCTGCCAATAGAGGTCTGACAGGATTCAATAGTTGTTACTAAAAAAAAAAAAAAAAGTGCTTTTTTTTGCAAAAGGGGCAGGTTAGAAGAGGGAGGGAATAAGAATATTCTTTAGAAAAACTCAAATCCATCTGCTTATCAATATCCAAAAGGCTGAGCCCACCCAGGGCACGATTTGGTCCGTGGAATACTGAGTGGAGGAGGCACCCTCACTGCCTGACTCCTGGGAGCATTTAACCATCCTTTTTGGCTTGGGGAGTGTCAAAGAGCCGGGCTGCCTTCCTGCACAGCAGATAGAACCAGTAGATCTGAGGAGCGATGAGGAAGGCATTGGCCACATTGCAGAAGAAAGGAATATTGAATGGCACCTGGAGCAGGCTCAGTTCCTGCTGTTGGCCATAGGACCAATACATGAAGGGGAAGAGAAGGATCCGACAAGAGAAGAAGGTGGTCAGCGTGAGGATTCCATTCACCTTGTACAGAAGGGTGTGTTGCTGCTTTAGCTGCGAAAGAAGGGGAAGGAGAACACAAGGTCACCAGGATGTAATACACTGTACCGCTAGTCAGGGAACGAGGAGCCCGAGTCCCACAACAGTAAAAGCAAGCAGGTAAGTATACTAATCAAGACCTAGGCGATCAAATTTCTTGACACCTAGACATTCGTCTAATTTACTGACACTTGTAGAAGACATTAGTGAGCACTATCTTATTTACTTACTTATTTTAGAGACAGGCTCTTACTCTGTCACTCAGGCTGGAGTGCAGTGGTGTAATCATAGCTCACCGTAACCTAGAACTCCTGGGCTCAAGCGATCCTCCCACCTCAGCCTCCTAAGTAGCTGGGACCACAGGCACATGCCACGATGCCTAGAACTGTCATGTTTATATGTGCATATAGCCTCATCATTTTTCCAACAATGATGTTGAATTTTGCCTACCTAAGCCACCCAGCTGATAGGAGAACAGCAACAGTGAATTAGAGAAAAACATGTAGCCAGGGAAAAAATATAAGTAACTGTATGTATGCAATTTGGATCAAATCTACAATTTAATCCTACTGGCTTAGATGACCAACTGACCTGTAAGTCTGTTGAAAGGTCTCCCATCCCACTATTGCTAGCACGAAGGGATTTCTCCAAACCCGACAGTCTCCAAAGGAGAAGCACAGTCCGTTCCCTCCTGTACTATTTCTGCTATGTCATACATACATACGTGAATCAGAATTCTGCCCAGTGACACAAATGGAGTGCTCATTTCTGCTGTGAAGATGCAGCCGACAAAGAAGTCCCCAAGGTCTCCCCGGAGCCTCTGCAGATGATAAGAGGAAAAAGGGAAATAAGTAGAGATTAAGAAACCACCAGAAGAAAAATTCTAACTGGGGCTATTGAAAAGGGTAACCATTAGGGACCCTGAAGGGAAAATGCAAAATAGGCAAATGTAGACTCAGCTAAAACTCTGCTGCTTCCATAGCAATAAAACTTTGATGGTCCAGTCCCTGGGATCCGGAGGCAAATTCAGATAGGCTGATTGCATCATGCACCAAGTTTCCTCTGAATTTTAATGACAGCCAGAAGAAACTCTGCAGCCTACTTTTGTGTATCTAACTAACTTAGTTATGCCAAGGGCACTTAGCCTGCTCATTTCACCAAAATATGTGCCAGGCCCTGTGCTAGATGTTAGGGTCCCAAAGCAATTAACAGACTTCTTAAAGAATTTAATGCACTCTACCACTCCTTTTTCCTTTTCAAGAAAGGAGTATCGCATAATAGAATACCAGCTCTGTCACTCAGTACCACTGACTGAGCTGAGTAAATTCTTAGAGCCTTAGTTTCTGCATCTACAGTATAAGGCTAATAATTTCTAATATTTAGCAAGCTATGAGATTTTAAATCAAGTGCCTACCACCTGGTAGGCACTCAGGAATCTTGAGTTTCCCCTCTGCATTCCAATTTCTCTTCCTTGTTGAGTGGGGTTTTACAGGGAAATGGATCTGGGGAGAAGTTACAGGCTATTTGCTTTAAGAGTATTTTTGTGACATCAGAATAATGCATACAGTACCTGCTGGCACTATTAGAAAACTGTCATTTTGTATTATATTTATACTTTATGTGATTTTATAACATATTGAACTAAAGACAGAATATTTGACAAATGTTAAGGAATCATGGAGGGCTGGGGGATTTCTGGAAAGAATAATGTTAGCAAGGAGGATCGTGAACATTTCAGATTTCATTATTTTCCTCTACTATTTGCATGGGGGATTTAACTGCTGAAGCAGCGGGCACATGGAGAATGGGTGCCGTATGAAAGGAAAGGAAAAGAAGGGCAATCCTGACTCCTAAGTAACGGTCAATTCACTCAGTTCTACAGCAGGAAATGAGTGACCAAGGCTGCTGGTCTATTGTCCTGGAAGGCCATACCTGTGCAACTGGCACAAGGACAAATAGAATGGCCGCATGGTGCGTGATCATGAGGCGGTTTTGACTTAGGAAGTTTCTAAAAGTGGTGGAGTGTCCATGGTTCTGATCTCTGGTTCGGTACCATTCACTGAGGTACATGGCGTAGGAGTCATAGACCATGTATGGAATCAAAAACCAGACATATTCTCGGGCAAGCCAGTGCCTGAAAGAGAGCATACGAATGGCCCATGAAATAATTATGGACATCAATTATGAAGGCCCAAAGCCAACGTCTTCTCAGACATGTTCCCTTCAGCTTTGTACTTAACCAGCTATTACTACTCCAAAGACTTTACCATGAAGATGCTGAAACTGATAAGGAGAGTGGAGAACTTTCTCTAAATTACAGGGCAAGTGCATGAGTGTCAAAGGCAAAAAAGCAGGAATTCACTCAACCCCATGTGTTTAAGTAGTTTGCCTGATTTAGTTACTCATTTGTAATGAACTTTCTGGTATTTTGTGATAACCTGACTTTGCTATAGGTACATTCATATACAACTGATTCAACTGCTCCACCAAGAAACTGGTTTGGAAGGTGCCCCAAATCTCAAATCCAATATTACCAGTTTAGATCCTCCCTTGGTTGCTCAATAGTTGAGAGTTCACTAACTTAAACCCCTGAAACCAAGGAGTTTTCTCTTGCATCTACTTGCAGCCCCACTCTAGGGAGTTTCTGGTAAGCAACTCTGGCAACTTTCTTCACAATTCTATAGCTAATCCCAATTCCATTAAGAAAAATATGTCTGGAAATGAGCCTGGAGCTCAAGTGCCACATAACAGCAGTTAGATACCAGGAGAGAGGCTAGGTCAAAAGACAGTTTTCCCATTTACTTGTCTAAAGGGGCTAAATCAATATTTAATGAGTCAAAATGATAGTTTTGGCTATAATGTAGAAGTCTCTATTATAGATACAATATTGTTTCCAGTGACAAATAAGACACTTTATGTGGGGGAAAAAAAATCTAAATGGAAATTATGGGCCGTGCACAGTGGCTCAGGCCTGTAATCCTAGCACTCAGAGAGGATGAGGCAGGAGGATCGCTTGAGCTCAGGAGTTCGGGACTAGCCTGAGCAAGAGTGAGATCCCATTTGTACCAAAAAGAGAGAAAAACAAAAGAAAACCCATCTGGGCGTGGTGGCACACACCTGTAGTCTCAGCTACTTGGGAGGCTGAGGCAGGAGGATTGCTTGAGGTCAGGAGTGGGAGGATGTAGTGAGCTACAATGACACAACTGCACTCTACCCAGGGCGACAGAATGAGACTCTGTCTCAACAACAATGACAAAAAAAACAAGGCAACTGAACACCCCTCCTCACAACCCCTGACCCCTTTAAAAAAAATAAAAATTAAAAAAATGTACTATGCTGAGGATTAGATTCTCACAGCCAGAAAATTTTTGTTATGCAATCATGTGTTACATAGAAGACAAAATTTAGTTTTATGTTTCTCAAAGGACCTGAACGTCAGAATCACCCACAATGTTAAGAGCTCTACTCCCCAGAAATTCTAAATTGTATGCCCGTGGCCCTCAAATATGTATTTTATTTTATTTTATTTTATTTTATTTTATTTTATTTTATTTTATTTTATTTTATTTTGAGTCAGAGTCTCACTCTGTTGCCTGGACTAGAGTGAGTGTCGTGGTGTCAGCCTAGCTCACAGCAACCTCAATCTCCTGGGCTCAAGTGATCCTCCTGCCTCAGGCTCCCGAGTAGCTGGGACTACAGGCATGTGCCACCATGCCCGGCTAATTTTTTTCTATATATATATATTTTAGTTGGCCAATTAATTTATTTCTATTTATAGTAGAGACAGGGTCTCACTCTTGCTCAGGCTGGTTTTGAACTCCTGACCTTGAGCAATCCGCTTGCCTTGGCCTCCCGGAGTGCTAGGGTTACAGGCGTGAGCCACCACGCTCAGGTCTCAAATCTGTATTTCTAAATTTGTCTTAAGTCATTTCCTAAGGAAATCAACATTGGGATTGGGCTCTACAGAAGGTGCCATTGAAGTTCTGTTCCTGAATGACTCCAACTTACCACAGCATAACAATTCAATAAGGTCAACCCCTAATGGCAAATATAATGCCCTTATAGTTGAATTAATTAGGCAGGTTCCATTTAAGCAAAAACATGCAATACTTCTTTCACTTGTATCTATGGTCTCAGTCGTTTTCTTAAAGAAATTCCAAGTAAAATAACTATAAAGAGCTACTAAAAGTACAGCTGAAATATAACTGGCCTCTCCTCTTGAGTGGAATCCAGGGTTGTAATACTTTGCACATAGTCCCAAGTTTAGTAAGATCTGAAATTGTGACTCTTAGGTAGAATTCTTTGAAGATTTATTAGTAAGAGATCTGGATTATAATCTTAATACCTCTAGCCTGGGATTTCACTTTCTTTATAAAAGGAAGATGATAATCCCGTGTCTTACTTCTCTGACAAAGTTATTGTGAGGATTAAAAACTTAAAAGTGTGAAAGTCCTTTTAAATGTTTAAGTGCTTAAGCTGGGCTTGGTGGCTCACAGGCTTGGTGGTTCACGCCTATAGTTCCAGCTACTGTGGAGGCTGAGTCAGGAGGATTGCTTGAGCCCAGAGTTTGAGACCAGCAGACCAGTCTACGTGATACAGCGAGACCCCATCTCGAAAAACAAAAACAGGCTGAGTGCTGTGGCTCATGCCTGTAATCCCAGCACTTTGGGAGACCAAGGAGGGAAGACTGCTTGAAGCTATGAGTTCAAAACCAGTCTGGTAGCAAGATCCTATGTCTACAAAAATAAGAAAAAACTAGGCCGGGTGTGGTGGCTCACATCTGTAATCCTAGCACTCTGGGAGGCCGAGGCAGGAGGATCACTCAAGGTCAGGAGTTCCAAACCAGCCTGAGCAAGAGCGAGATCCCGTCTCTACTAAAAATAGAAAGAAATTAATTGGCCAACTAAATATATATAGAAAAAATTAGCCAGGCATATTGGCACTTGCCTGTGGTCCCAGCTACTTGGGAGGCTGAGGCAGGAAGATCGCTTGAGCTCAGGAGTCTGAGGTTGCTGTGAGCTAGGCTGATGCCACGGCACTCTAGCCAGGGCAACAGAGTGAGACTCTGTCTCAAAATAAAAATAAAAATAAAAAAAACTAGCCAGGTGTGGTGGCACACTCCTATAGTCCCAGCTATTCAGGAGGGCTGAGGCAAGAGGATCATTTGAGCCCAGGAGCTTGAGGCTACAGTAAGCTCTGATTCTGCCACTATACTCCAGCCTGGGTGAAAGAGCAAGATCCTATCTCTAAAACAAAAAACAAATATAAGTGCTTAAATTGAGAAAACTGTCTACAGTTGTTACTTAAGCCCTTTGAGGGGTCCCTTTAATAATCTGATTAAATCCTCAGTGCATACCACATTCTGCATATAATTTGGGGAGATGTATAGATAGCCCTCCTATTTATAAATATTCATATGAAGGCATAAAATGAGAAGGCATATAATAGAAAAATATTTGGGTATACAGCATGACCCCTGAAAGGCCTATTTTAAAGGTGACATAGGTGCTTTTAGAGCATCCTTGTATATCCAATAAAAGGTGGAGGGGTCTGAATTGTGGTATCTATGTCTATTTTTCAAACAGAGAATCTAAGAAATAAAGATACATAAAAGGAAGAACCCAAAAACCAAACTCAAGTTTGCTAACATGCTCAAGCCACTAAGACACAGCCATTTGGAGGAGAAAACGCAACCACGGTGTTACAGAACTGTAAGTTAGTCATACTTAAATAGCTTTTCCTGAGATGCATCGTGGTTGCTTGCTGCCTGCCCTCATGTTAACTCATGCTAATGCATGAGTTACATTTGTCTTAGTCTAATCTTGTCGGGTCACATTTGTCTTAGTCTAATCTTTGCAGAAGAGGCTGGTTTCAAGTTTGATCTGGCAAATGGGGTAGTGAAGGAGCTTGCTGCATGATCAGAAAATACTCAATTACAATAAAAATTGAACCCAGCCAAGCAAATGCTGTTAGCCAATCAAGGTCACTTGGCCTGTCTTCTATCAGCCACAACAAGAAAAGCAAGAAAATCACGACAGCAGTATCGAGTCCAAGTGAGATTGTGGCCCACGGTGAGATGGTCTCCCTAGTTGGGCTTCTCCCAGGCTCCAGCCTCAACAGGTGAAAAGCAGGACATGACACAGCCAACAAACACGAAAGAAGGGTCAGGAGAGGCCACTTGACCTTTCCTGCACATCTGACTGTGGTTCTTCAACTTAACTGGGAGAAAGTAAGAAGACAGGTGGGGAAAAAAATGGCTTTTAAAAAAAATAAATAAATAAAAGCACCACCTCTGTCCAGGTCTATATGCTATACAGAAGCAGACCACTCTGGTCTTAATGTATGATTTGCTTCACTGAAACTGCAGACAGACACACAGCTCCTGACCTGCCTCTGGACTGAGCTCTAAGACACACACAAGTCAGTTTTCTGAAAGCATCGGAAACCTCTTCCGTCACCTTTAGCAAATCTAAAGGAAAAACGAGAGCAGCATTTGCAGGGAAAGGGGTGGTGGATGTGGTCCATCGAAGGACATATACTGGCCAATGAATGCTCCAGGGTGGGGACTCAGTGAGGTCGACTGATGCATCTCTCAATATTTTTGCACTTACCTATCTCATAAAGAACCTGGATCAATGGGCTACCACTGCCCTCTCACCACCTTAAATCAGGCACAGACTCTGTTGTTCTGTCTCATTTCAGTTTACCTCCTGCTTACTTTCTCCTAAACTGGGGATACTGGAAGGAGGAGAGGAGGAAGGAACTAATTATGGGAGCCCAAGTTTTCCCACCAGCCAGCTACCTAACAGCACGTGCTGATAAAGAACTAGTAGTGTCTGTGAGCCAATAAAATGTGGGAACTTCCGAAAAGTTCCTCAGCCCTGTGATCTGTACTTCTTTCACCTGGCACTGGATGTTACCTGCCGTTGACCACGTCGCTGCAGGAGCTTAGGACGACGACGATGCCCGACCCGGTGGCCAGCACAGCCTGCACTGAAGAAACCAGCCTAACGAGGGGCAGAGGGGAGGAAGAGAAAGCGCGCTCGATCCAGTCCTGTGGGCTGCGCAGAGCCAGCCTCCCCGACCCGACCTCCCGGGCTGCCAGAGCGGCGAGGACGGCGGTGGGGCTGCGGACCCGCGGCAGCTGGCAGCTGTGGGCAGCAGCTCGAGGGTCGCACTGTGCGAACACTGCCCTGCCCACCCCGACCCGCACGGCCACCCGCCTCTCCGTGCAGGTGAGGACGCCGAGGGTCGCGGGCAAGCTCGGGCGAAGCGACCGAGAGGAGCGAGCGAGCGAGGCAGCCCCCTCGCTTCCTGCCGCCCCCCTTTTCCGCCCTGGCCGGGCGCAGGGGCGGGCGCAGGCGGGTCCGGGCGCCGAGCAGCCGGCGCCGGCCGGCCGGGCGGGGCAGGTCCCGGCGCTCGGCGGGCCGCCCGGCCGCGCCCAGTACCTGGTGCTGATCATCAGGCAGTCGGAGTCGGTCCATGCTGGCCGCGAGCGGCGCAGCGCCCAGGTGCAGAGCGCGAAGAGCCCCGGGAAGAAGAGCGCCCCCCCGGCCAGCGTCAGCAGCATGGGTGCTCGCGGTCCGGCCGCCTCGCTCGGCGCCGCTCGGCGTGGCTCACCCGCTGCGCGCGCCCGGCACTGGCGCGGCCCGCCGGCCCTACCCCTACCCTCCGCCCCGCCGCGCCGCCCCGCCCGGCCCGCCGCGACTCCGGCAGCCGCCGGGCGCTGGCCCGAGCCCGCGGCGGCTCCCCGCGTGACCAGGCGGCCGCCGCGATAGGCGCGGGCCGCGGCGGGCGGGGGGGGTCTCGCCGCGGCCGCCCCCGGCCCGAGGCTTCCCCGGTCCCGCGGCCGGTCCGCGCGCTCCGCCCGGGACAGCGGCTGCGGGGCCGTGGCCGTCCCGGCGTCCGTTCCGTCACCGCGGCGCCTCCCCGCCCCCGCGGGCCGCCTCGTCTCCGGGGCCGGGGCCAGCGGGGCGGGGCTGGGGATGGGGGAGCGGCACAGAAGGCCAGGTAGGGACCCCGCCGCCCAGGTGGGCGAGCCCGCCCGGCAGCAGCGGGCGTCTGTCTGCGGGGGAGGGGCGCACCGGGCTCCTGGCCGTCCCCGCCTGGCCCCATCCTCCGAGCACTCTTACTTCCAAATCAGAGTCTTAAGGACTTGGTCTTTCTGTACGTCAAAGGTATCTTTTCCTTGTTCCACCAACTGCTGCAGTCTCTCCGGAGGGGGAATTTCTCAGAAAGCTTTAAATCATGCCACAGAATCCAGCAGTTTCTCTCTCCACCTATATAGTGAGGTGGACTGTTAAGACTGCATACTTCTCAGTGGTCCTGCCTCTTGGCTTTGGATTAAGATACTATCCAGAGTCACTATCTTCGTGACTGTTTTGTTGTTGACAGCGTGTCCTCCTTATTTAAAAGTTCTCAGGACAGGTGTCCTAAACCTGAATGGGTTGGAATCTATTTCATTTTCACCTAACACCAATCACAGGGTTCAATACAATAATTTCAGTATTACTGACTTCATTCCTCTTGACGTCCCAGCTTTACTTTGCTTCGGTCTGTATCTTCCTCAGCTAACAAATGTGGAGGGGAAATTCATTTGTACCTACTACAATTGAAAGGTGCTGTGCGTCTCTTCAAATCACCGTCATGGAAAATGCTGACCAAAGTCCCATATGAGGACTAAGTCTGGTACAGCAGGGGTGAGCCTCTCTGGGCCACTATTTCCTTATTTGCGAAATGAGGAGGAGGCTGGATTACAAGCTCTTTATGGCTCTTATAGCTCTAAATCCCTATGATTCTATGAGTTTTATAAAGTATTAGATGATTTCTGTTAGATACCAATTAAATTATTTTAACATGGCAGTTACTGGTGTAGAAACAAGATATGGAGTGAACACAGCTTTTGTTTGTTTCACTTTGCATTTATTTATTGACTCTGAAGACGTTTCTTAAGTTTAAAAGATAGTTTTCCTTTAGCATTTTATAATTATTAATTAGGTCATGATCTTTTTGAGTGAACACAGCCTTTAATATCTTCTCCTATGTTTTGTTAAGATGAGGGACTTACCCAACATTAAGGTAGCAGACAGCTCAAAGAAAAGTCTGAAAGTTCATCCACTTAAGGCAACATCTCTGACTCCCAAATGCATTGCTAACAAACTTGATGAAATGAGAAAGACAGTTCAATCTGGTACCAAGGTATCTGGCAAATGCAAAGCTCTCTGTGTTTTCACATTTGCTTGTGGACAAAAACAGCTATCTGGAAACCTTCCTTTCTCTCCAGAAGCACAAATCTTTGTGCATTCCACTTTGTATTTCCTTACCCATTTATGATAGTCACTTCCAGTTCCAGCTTTTCCAGAGAGTGACAAGTGGTTACAAGTCCTCCCAGCCTTTCTGCCTTAAAGGGATCAGCAACTTGCACCAAGTATGCTAGAACTTTTAAGTGGTGAGAACCAGTATATCCCCTACACAAGCAGCTCTTTAGGCATAAAATGAAAACAGAGCAACAAGATATTTCACATATAGAAAACAGCAAGTAAAATCAATTTCCAACAGCACGCTCAGGGAAGTCACCAGAATGTTTAGGTTCAATCACCATAAAGCTAACAAGCATAAACATGAACCTCTGCTTTTCAAGTGATCAGCAAATGGTAAAGCCAAATAAAAAGCACCAAGCTTTGTTTACACAAACATCCTCTTGCCCTTGAAAAGTCTTAAATGTTTCCTTCTCCAAGGTTTCTATGTCTCTTCCAGACAGATTTATAAATTCATTTTCCAAACCTGCCTTTGCATTTGCATAATGAGCTTGTTTTTTTTTATTTGCATGTATGTTTTTCCACCAGATTGTTAGCTCTTTGAAACAAGGACTTTGTCTTTTCATTTTGTATCCTAAGTTAGGCCTGGTGCATTGCAAGGGTTCAATAAATGTTTGATACTTTTTAAAGATAATGTCTACTGAGCACTTACTGTATGCTAGGCACTATATCAAACATTTTATGTGCATTGTTTCATTTAAATCCTCACAATAAATTTGTTATCCTCACTGTGTCCGTGTATTTGTGTGTGTGTGTGTGTGTGTGTATGTGTGTGTGTCAGTGTGTCAGCAAAATGAGACTCAGACCAGAGCAATTAAAAAATTGGGATTTGAACTTAGTACTTTCTGCCTTCACATCAATGTGCTTACTTGGAAAAATTATAAATTACATATAAATATAAAATGGTATTAATAGCAACATCAGAGCCCATAAAATCCACCCCACACATTTATATTTATGAGTAAACAATTTGAAAGCTTTCAAACTTGATAAGCAGGGAGAAAGTAGTAATTTTTCACAATATAGTTTCTCATTAATAACCACTGCTCCTAATTGTTTACTCATAAATATAAATGTGTGGGGTGGAGTTTATGGGCTCTGATGCTGCTATTAATACCATTTTATATTTATATGTAATTTATAATTTTTCCAAGCACTTTCACATATATCACTTAGTTCTCAGAATAATCCAGTGAGATCGGCTGATCGTATTATTGTTTTCATTTTACAGATGAACAAACCTAAGTACAGAAAGGTAAACTGACTTGCCACCCTATCAAGTGACAGAACCCAGGGCTCCTGATTCATGTTCCAAGGTGATTTCAACTACTTCATGCTATAGGGTTGGGATTTGAGGAGTTCGTAATTATGCTTGTTGTGGGGATTTCAAGAGGGAAGCTTGGGTTACTAGATGCCAAAATAAGACTGATTTACCAAATTCAGAGTCTCACCCCTTGAACAGGAAACTTATAAAGTTCCCAGGTTTGGAGGGCTACGGAGGGATTCTTCTGCCACTGAGGTATGTGATCCTGCTTTTTGGTCACTTCTCCCCCATTACTTGAGACCCCAATCTGGATCCCATTAGGGTATAGGATACAGGGAGTCTCCCCATGTCTGTTCCCTGGTTTCTTCAGCCTTAAATTGAAAATACCATATTTACTTGTAAAATAAGAATTCTCAAGTGAATACAGTTAAAGATATGTGGTGTGTATGTAGGCTACTATCCTTGATCAAGGTACATTTTCTTCCTACTCAGGAAAAGGCATCTATGGAAACATCAATTGAGAGTCACACAAGAAACATCTTCATATTGAGCTCTAGGGTTGAAAGAGAAGTTGGAGGTCTCCATCCACTCATCTACTTTATTTTTATTTATTTTTGTCAAGTTTCCACATACAACATGGATGGACATTCATCTACTTTAAAAATGCTAACAGACAAAAATAATGAAACTCTATTCTGAAACAAAATGTATTTTGTTTAGAACCACACTTCATTTCTGCATTAGGGACAGTTGAAGCAAAGACACAGCAGGAACAACAAAAGGAGAAGTGAAGTGATGGGAAGAGACAATGAAAGATACAGCACAGGAAGACGATCCAACCAGGAGAGACTAAAATAGCTACAGGGAAAAACCAAGGCACACTTTTAAACACAGGAAAATAGATATAGAGATGCAAGTCCAGTGATTGGCAGATCATAACAACTGAACAAGAGGAAAAGGATTGTAAGACATAGGGAAAGAAGGAATGAGTCATTGCAAAAAGAAAGAAAGTGACAGCCTTTTGAGGAACTTCATTCCGTTTAGGCTAGCACAATAAAAGCCATATTGCATTTGAAGAAATATGGTGCAAATAAGGAGGTGATTCCTGTTAGGACTGAGAGTGTGACCAGAAAGAAGTTAATCACCCTCCTCTTAATGTCTCCTTCACTTTGTTTGCCTGGTCAATAAAGTCCTGCACTGGTGTGTGTGTGTGTGTGTGTGTGTGTGTGTGTTTTGTGTGTGTGTGTGTGTGTTTCCCCAGTAGACCCTAATGGTAGGGACTGTTGTTTTGGGAGGCAGCCATGGCATACAGCACTGGGGTTGAGACCAGAGAGCCTGAGTTCCAGAGCTTATGACTCTGCAACTCATAAGCTGTGTGACACAGAGAAAATGACTTAACCTCTCCTGTAAAATGGCGATTCTACCTATTTCGCAGGGTGGCTAGGAGAATTAGGTGAGTGGTATTTTTAAAAATACATGCTAAACTATGTGCTGGGCACCAGCAAGGGATTATTGTTATGTCTTGAATCCCCACAGCACAGCTCCCTGCTGTTAAACTTCTCAGTAAGCACCTGTTGGATTTAAGATGCCCTAGGCTGGCCTTAGCCAGACTCCACGCTGCACATTCTGCAGTTTTATCCGGGACTTTCTGCAAATGCAAACTGTGACTATAAGAAGCACAGTTACTGGGCCAGGCGGGGTGGCTCACGCCTGAAATCCTAGCACTCTGGGAGGCCGAGGCGGGCAGATTGCTCGAGGTCAGGAATTCGAAACCAGCCTGAGTGAGACCCCATCCCTACTAAAAATAGAAAGAAATTAATTGACCAACTAAAAATATATATACAAAAAATTAGCCAGGCATGGTGGCGCATGCCTGTAGTCTAGTCAGTCCCAGCTACTCGGGAGGCTGAGGCAGTAGGATTGCTTGAGCCCAGGAGTTTGAGGTTGCTGTGAGCTAGGCTGACTCCACGGCACTCACTCTAGCCTGGGCGACAAAGTGAGACTCTGTCTCAAAAAAAAAAAAAAAAAAAGGCAGCACAGTCACACCCCA